TTAGGAAACTTAAAAGAAATGGAAAGAAAGTCCATATTCATGGATTGGAAGGCTCGGTATCAGTCAGATGCTCTTCTCCACAAATTGATCTGTAATACAGTCCCGATCAAAACTCTCATGGGCTTCTTGTAGGTGTTGGCAAACTGACTAGCAGTCAGAAAAACCTTGAGGACTTCCCTGCTGGTCCAGTGGTTGAGAGTCCTGCTGCCATTGCCAGAGTCACGGGTTCAATCCCTGGTCCAGGAAGATCCCACATGCCACAGAGCCACTAACCCCACGAGCCACAACTGCTGAAGCTCATGCCCTGGAGCCCGTGCTCCGCAACAAGAGAAGCCACAAGCCTGCTCCACAACTAGAGAGCAGCCCCTTCGCCGCAAGTAGAGAAAAGCTGCATGTAGCAACAAAGACCCGGCACAGCCAAAAACAAAAAGAAAATTAAAAAAAAAAAGAAAAAAACTTTGAAAGCTAAATTGGAAGACTTTTACTACTAATTCAAGACTTACTAGAAAGCTTCATCAATCAGACAGTATGTACTGTATACCTTTAAGAGGTAAAGAGCCAAAACATTACAATGAGGAAAGTCTTTTCAACAAAATTTGCTTGAATAACTGGATATCAAAATGGAAGAACAGTGACCTGTGTCCCATATACCAAGTTTAACTGAAGATGTGTCACAGACCTAAATGTGAAAACTGAAGCCATTCTTTTTTTTTCTTTTTTTTAAGAAAAAAAGAATACATTTAATGAAGTGACAGAGAATCTTGAGGATATAGAAAATTCCACCATAAGAGGAAAAGGTTATAAATTTGACTTCATTGAAATTAAAAATTTCATTCAAAAGGCACAGTTAAGAAACTGCATTGACAGGCCCCAGATGGGGAGAAATATTTGCAGTGTGTATCTTTGACAAAGGCCTGTGTCAATACCAAAAAGACAACCCCATAGAAAAGGGGCAGACTGCTGGAAAAGACGTTTCATGACAGAACATATTTAAGGCCCTCGTCTCCATCAGTCTGGAAGGACATTGTTGTTGAGCTGTCAAGGAGAAAAACTACCATGGCTTCCAGTTCTCTGATGAGCGCTTGGATGCACAGCCTTCTGGTCAAGCATCTGCGACTTCATATTGCTGGAGCATTTACTGTGTGCCTGGGAATTGAGTTTTTCTCTTAAGTTTGCTGTGGGTGAATCAGGAAAGAAGGCATACGCAGTTTCCTACACAAATTGTGATTCCGTAAAAGATCTGGAGGAGATGAGGAAGGCTGGTGTCTTTCAGAGTGCAAAGTGGTTTTGGAATGTAAAAGAATTTCTTTGGGTTGAGTTCCGTGGTAGTTTGTCACTTAACCTGTGTTCCTGAAGTATGAACTGTGAATATCTGGGCTATAAGGAATAGTTTTTTTTGATAAATAAACAACTAATAAATACTGTGCATGAGAAAAATAATAAATAGCCAGTGAAGATAGCTTATGAAAAGAAGCTTAGCTTCATTAGTCATTTATTAGGGAAATGCAGATTAAGACCACAATGCGACACTCTTTACACTGACAGGAATAGCCGGAAATAAGCAAGCCCGGTATTACGTACTAAGTGTCGATAAGCGTGTGAGCAGCCGTAATCCTGAGCCGTAGCTGAGGGCGGGGGCAGGGTGGTCCAGCACTTGATAAACGGTTGGGCGGTCTCTCACAGAGTTACACATATACTGCTCCATGGCCCAACTCTGCTAGTCCCAGGTGACCACTCCCCATAAACATTTGCCCCCAAATGCCCACTTGATTCATAATTGCCAAAAGCTGGAAACAACTCAGGTATCGGTTAACAGGAGAAAGCCTAAACTGTATGAAGGCAGATTCATACAGTGTATAATCAAAATAGGAACCATTACAATCAACATGGTTTTTTGCCAATGAGAAATAAATTTGTTTCTTCCTGTAGCATGAAAATCTGTGCTTCGCGATTCAACCAACTCTTGGAAAGCAGTTTCTGCCTCCTGCAGGTTGCAGAAGCATTTTCCTGCAAAAAGTTGTTGAGATGCTTGAAGAAGTGATAATTACTTGGCAAGAGGTCAGGTGAATATGGCAAATGAGGCAAAACTTCGTAGCCTAATTTGTTCAACTTTTGAAGCGTTGGTTACGCAATGTGCGGTTGGGTGTAGTGCAGATGAATTGGGCCCATTCTGTTGACCAATGCAGGTGTTGCAATTTTCAGTGCGTCTCATTAATTTGCTGAGCATACTTCTCAGATGTAATGGTTTTCACCAGGATTCAAAAAGCTGTAGTGGATCAGACTAGCAGCAGACCACCAAACAGTGACTATGACCTTTTTTTGGTGCAGGTTTGGCTTTGAAAAGTGCTTTGGAGATTCTTCTTGGGCCAGCCACTGAGCTGGTTGTCGCCACTTGTGTAAAATCTACTTTTTGTGGCATGTCACAATCTGATCGAGAAATGGTTCATTGTTCTATACAATAAGGGAAGATGACACTTCAAAAGGACAATGTTTTTGACTTGCAGTCAGCTCATGAGGCACCCACTTATCAAGCTTTTTCACCTTTCCAATTTGTGTCAAATGCCAGAAAACTGTAGAATGGTCGACGCTGAATCCGTTGGCAACTTCTCGGGTAGTTGTAAGAGGATCAGCTTCAGTGATTCTCTCAGTTGGTCGTTGCCAGCTTCCAATGGCCGCCCACTACACTCCTTATCTTCAAGGCTCCCATCTCCTCTGCAAAACTTCTTGAACCACCACTGCACTGTCCCTTTGTTAGCAGTTCCTGGGCTAAATGCATTGTCGATGTTGTGAGTTGTCTCTGATGCTTTATGACCCATTTGAACTCTAATAAGAAAATCACTCGAATTTGCTGTTTATCTCACATCATTTCTAAAATAAATATAAACAGCAAGTAATAAGTCATTAGCAAAAAAAAAAACCCATAAAACAAGAAATGTGTGTTAAAATGATGTATATAACAAAACTGCATTTATTTAAAATGTATTCCTGTGTCAAACAGCAAAGTTCAGCATTGCGAAACCGCAATTACTTTTGCACCAACCTAATGCTAGAAATCAGAGCAGTGGGCCCTGTGAGGGAGGGGAAAGGGGGTGCAGATGGCAGATCATCAGTGGAAGAACCTTCTGGATGATGGAATGTCCCTGATCTTGAGGGGTTTCTGGGTTTCACCATGTGTGCAACTTGCCAGAATCAACAAACAGCACTTCAGACCTTTGCATTTTGCTGGATGCAAACCACACCTCAATTTAAAATAATACTATTAATAATTAGATTACTTAATTCCTTAAGCAAACACTTGGAAAGTGTTGTTATGAGATCAAGTTGTAGTGATTTACAGGTCAGGATTGCTGACTTAACCTTTATTTCATATCGGCAGCCACAGGAGCTTAGCTAGATTTGGGGTTGAAGTCAGTTCTTTTTTTTTTTCCCCTGCTTCCTTTGAAATCCTAGGCGTGTGTTTACAGACAAAAATTCACAAAACCTCTGCAGTATAGGAAGTAGGCCTGTGGTATTATGCACTTTCTACCTCTGTGCATCCAGCCCCAGGAGCAGCCTCTTTCTCGACCACTTCTCTTCATCCAGGCCTGCACAGAGGCCACCTGCCCACAGCCCAGCTCACTGGGGGACACTTCCCACAGCTGAAGTCGCCAGGCTGTCACCACCTGGGGCCAGGCCCTGGTGCTGTGGTTGAGGCAGAGCCAGAAAGCTGTGCCCTACCAGACGAGAGATCAGCTTGCCTCTCTGGCTCAGCCGTCTGCTACGCCAGGGGCCCACGGGAGCCGGACTGGGGCCTGGACCCGAGCATGAGCCCCCTCAAGTGCCCGGGGTGGCCCTGCCTGGACCCCATACTCTGCCACCAAGGCAGATGGGGGCACCAGGGAAATGCCCTACTGAGTGACAGGTCGGGTGGCAGGTGAAATGGTGAGAGGACGTGAGGACAGACCCTGGGATGTCTGCAGGTTGGGGAGAGCCTGCAGGCTGCCTGAGTCCTGAGGAGCCGAGAGGAGTCTGATCTATGCAGGCGGTGACTGGGGGTGTCCGTATTTAGAGCAATAAATATTTGCAGGGGTCACTACAGCACTGGGAGCCTGTCATCCACCCTCCAGCTGGCACCTTGCACAGTTTGGGCATCAGGCTTGTGAAATTACACGGTGACCTATGTCTGCAAAGAATCTCCCAGAAATGCTCGGTCACAGCAAGAGGGTAGGCTGCGGAGGCCCCTGTGCTGTGCGCCGGGGTGGGCTCCTCAAGGCCTGGCAACAGGTGGTCTTTCAGGAGAAGCCCAGAGGAGGGGCTTCGTGCCCGTCTGCACTTCCACGCTTTCACCATCTACACACGTTCCCTCTTTCTTGAGGTGTTTTAGGGGCATGGGCAGGAGGGTCACAGGGCAGGATGTAGCACGAGACCTTCGAGACCTTCGGGAAGCTCAGGGATCGTCTCCTCTGGGCAGGGGAGGGTCTGGAAAGGGGAGACGGAGCTGGGGGCGCTTTTCTGATGTGGAATTGCAGGCCTTGGTGACTCGGAGCATGTGGGCCACAGTCAGCGAGACTGGCTGTAGGGACCAGCGGAGCACAGGCTGCCCCAGGGGGGCTCTCCGCCTCCGGCCAGAAGGACACGCTGAGCTTCTGTGCTCGCAGTGCTTGCTTTTAATGATTTTCCATTTCTGGCTGGAGATTCCCATTAAGTCAGCATAAATGAACAGGAGGCATAAGCAGCACTCAGTTGCTTATCTTGGGTTTTTAAATGCAGATAAAGTGCTGAGCATGTTGTAAACCCACAGGCATCTGACTTCAGGACTTCTGTCTCAAAGGTGGTCTACATTTCACTTCTTGCATGGCTTTTATATTGTTACACCCATCCCTGTTTCAAGTTAAAGGTACATAGTTCTTAAAAAGAGTTAATGTGTTTAGAAGGGGGAAGTTGCCGAATTCTCCTGGAACACACCCAGCACTCCTTCAGAGCCATCGCTGTGCCTTTGTCTAACACCGCTTTCCTTCCAGGAGCCCCCACGAGAAGAAGAAGAAGAGACGCTCACGGTCACGGACCAAGTCCAAGGCCGGATCTCAGCCAGCCTCCCCGAGCAAGCAGCCCACGCGCCGCCACTCGGCCAGCATCTCTCCTGTGGAGAGCAGGGGCTCCAGCCAGGAGCGCTCCAGGTAGCTCTTCCCTGACCCACCCTGACCTCTGGGCCACGCAAGGGAGCTGAGAGGAGGCGGGCGCGCTGGCAAACCCCCAGACCCCTGCTCCCACACCCTCCTGTGTGTCACTCAGGCTCAAAGTGAGCTGAAGGTGGACACAGATGTCAGAGAACCTAGGCCGCCTCCCGCACCCCACACCCTGGGCTGCCCCCCACCTCCGCCGTGAGGCGGAGGGAACCTGGGAGCAGGTGTGGGGCCGCTGCCTCCCCTCCCAGACCTGGGTGCCAAGTCCTGGGGAAGCACCTGCCTCAGATGTAATGTGGCAGCAGCCGTTCCCTGATGATGGTGCCTTTGTCCTCACACAGGCCGTGTGGGGTGGGAGTCACCCCCTCTGCGGAGCCCCATGTGACCACGGGAAGAGAGCAGGCACAGGAGTGCACGGTTGACTGAGCCCCAGAACCCCTGTCAACCCACTGCTCACTCTAAGCCGGAGCAGACGGGGGTGAAACTTCCTGAGCACAAGGGCTACAGGGCCATGGGAGTCCACACTGACCATCACAGTCTCCCCATGCCCACGAGGTGGCTCCCCAAGGACTGGCTGCCCTGGTTGTTGGGAGGTATCTGCCAGACAATACCATTTCATAAAGCCGCCCCCACCCATCCACCCAGAAGGGTGCTGGGATCATGCTCCCTCCTGCTTGTAGACCCACTGTTTCCATGAGTGTGAATTTTGGCCCATCTCCCCCAAAACTGGCGGGTGAGTGGCAGAGACCGTAGCTCACTTGGGGTGAATTAAAAACTAAGCTGTGGCTTCTTCAAAGGTGAAACTGAGTACAGACTCCATCATCACTCGTGTGTCACGTCCATGCCCCCAAAAGTCCAAAAAATGGCCCGGAGGCGCCCACTCAGGTTATGGTCAGGTTCTGGGAATGCATGCCAGCTCTCTGTGCTGTCCTCCTCTTCATCTTTTTTTAAATGTGTCTTACATGATGTTCACATGAAAATATCTTTTGAGTTAGATTCAGTTCAGTTCAATCACTCAGTCGTGTCCGACTCTTTGCGACCCTATGAATCGCAGCACGCCAGGCCTCCCTGTCCATCACCAACTCCCAGAGTTTACTCAAACTCATGTCAATTGAGTCGGTGATGCCATCCAGCCATCTTATCCTCTGTCGCCCCTTCTCCTCCTGCCCCCAATCCCTCCCAGCATCAGGGTCTTTTCCAGTGAGTCAGCTCTTCCCATCAGGTGGCCAAAGTATTGGAGTTTCGCTTCAGCATCAGTCCTTCCAGTGAACACCCTGGACTGATCTCCTAGATTACATTTTATGAAATATTTCAAATTTCTGTTACATAAAATAGACAAGTAAAATACATCCATTTATAAGGTTGCTTGCTTTTTTTAAAGATACTGGAAACAAATTGGCTTGAAGTATTTTTAAGCCCCCGATTTCTCTCTCTTTGCATTAGGGGAGTTTCTCAGGAAAAGGACGGTCAGATCTCCTCAGCCATCGTTTCTTCTGTGCAGAGCAAAATCACTCAGGTAAGGTGGGAGCGGGTCTCTCTTCGCTCCCATCTTTTTGTGAAGGGACTAGCCTTCACTTCCTTCTCCTTTCGTGGGTGCTGACGGGGTCCTGGGCTTCTTGTCTGGAAGTCGCGGGGTGGCTGAGCCCTGAGCTTCCGTCTCCGGGCAGCTCTGTCTCCTCCTTCCCAGGGTGGGCCTGTGTGGTTGACTCCTGGGCCCTGAGCCCATGAGCCCACCTCAGGTCCCAGCAGCAGGGCTGGGACGGAACCCTGCCCTGAGCGCATCCATGACCCCTAGCACGTCGCCTCCAGTCTCCTCTGTCTTCACCTCACCTCATCTCTCCTCACACAGGACCTCATGGCCAAAGTAAGAGCGATGCTAGCAGCTTCCAAAAACATGCAGACCAGCGCCTCCTGAGACACGGGCTTCGGGCGACTGGGCTCCAGAAGCCGGCAGAGCAGAGAGCCCCGACCTGCACAGACCTTCCCCCCCGCCACCCCCCCACCCCCCCGGGGCTCCTGGACAGTTGGCGGGTTTTGTAAATTAATTTTTGATGACATTTTCAGTTTAAGATTTTTGACCAGCAGTCTCTTACCTGTATATTTGTAAATAATATCATGTTTCTGTGAAAATGTATTATCAAATAAAATGGGAGGAAAACACCTTTTTTAGCTAGTAACTGTGGGCAGTTTCTTCCTTGTCTGGCTTGTGAGTTTTTTTTTACTGTTTGTCATCTATCACTGGCCTCTAACACTTGTTATGTGGGCATCACAGGACATGGGGATGGCTGTTGGTTTTGCCAGCCTGACAGCAACACCCCTCCCCAGGCGTACAACCACCACCACCTCCCACCCCTGGCTCCTGCGCCCCCAACTGTGGTCAGAGCTCAGCACTCCCCTCACCGGGGCGCGGGGCCACTGCCATCTCCACTCCCCACAGAGCAGGGGAGGCAAGCAGCCCAAGGCCCCTCCGCCAGGCAGGGCATCGCTATATGGGTGGGTTCCTGTCTTTAGCACCTATGTCCTCCATGTTCACTCAGATGGATGGTGCTGAAGCTGTCCTTTCACTGAACCCTGCTCGCTTGGCGCCCTGGTGACCCCAGCATTAGAACAGCCGCCCATTTTCACCCCACTGCTGGCTTCGGCCACAACTAGGAGAGGGCAGCTTGCTTGTGTCACGTGGGCCTTTCTCTGCAGAGGACCCGAGGCCCCAGGCAGTGCGCAGATGCCTGTGTCTCATTTAAAGCACCAGCAGTGAGGGCCTGCCGTCTCTTGTCCATGGTTTGAAGTTCGTCCTCCCATTAAGAAGGTTCCACACTGTGCCAAAGTCGGAATTCATCCTGGTTCTGCCTATTTTCCAGAACCAGAAAATGGATCCTTTAGATGTTCCTTCTCAGAAAGCAGACATCTTCCCAGGGGTCTTGCTGAGGATGGTCAGGAAGATGACACACCCCTGGGAACCAACTGTCCAAGGTCGGGTCAGAGGAGGACGGGGCTGGGGTGCCGAGCCTGGGGTGCGTGCAGAGCTGAGGGTGAGGACCCACTCCCCGTCCGGCTGTGGTCCTGCTGCCGGGTGGATGCGTATGACGTCAGGGTCTCGCACACCTGTCCCTTCACACGGCGGTGGCCACTGCATGCAGAGGTCTGTACTTTGTCCTATGGGCTTGCCTATGAGATGGTGCCCTGTCAGCAGTTAAAGCCCCAGCCCGGCCACCACCATCCAACAGACACAAGCCTGGCGCATGGACCCAGTGCTTGCATGTCGGGGGCATCCTCTTTTTTTCCTGCTGTCTGAACAGTCCCCGCTTGACAGCCACACCAGACATCCTGGAACAGACGTCACCTGCGCACACAGGTACCACGGAGTCTGCAGTGGAAGTCCCAGGGTACGTATCCTTTTGCTTCTGATGCGAATAACTGTCCTTCAGAAAGCGCTCTTTGCCAGCCAAACATGAGTATCTCTTCAGCATCCTCATCAAAGCAGTGTGACTCACACATTACCTTGGCTGAATCAGAGATGAAAAGTTCTCACATTTTCATTTCGTTTTTTTAATTATGAGCAAGATTGAGCAATTTCCCCTGTATTTATAAATCCCTTTGTATTTCTCCTCTGCAAACCAGCCCTGTGCTTTTGCTCTTTATTACTATTGAGTTGCTTATTGCACAGTAAGCACCCCTTTCTGTATTATTTACTTTGTAAGTAATTTTCTCCCAATTTGTCACCTCTCTTTTAACTTTATAAGTTTTTTTGAGCCTGCAAAAATTGCTTTTTTTTTTAAACATGGTCCTTCATTTTCCTCACGACATCTGGGTTCTGTGTCCTTAGACCTGGGGGCACCGACTGTGACTTCCATTCTCTCTGCTATCTGTACGCCTCTGTTGCTTGGTGCAGGGTCACTGTTAAGCTGTTCCACTGTTAAGGAACTGGGAGCATGAGCCAGACAAAGATTCTTGGGAGGAAAAGGATGACTTGGACCAGTGCCAGCAGGACACCCACCGACTGAGCACCTTGGGGTGGGGAGTCCGCCATGGGCCCGCATCCTCCTCTGATGTCCAGAGTCGTCCGTGAGGGCGGCAGCGGGAAAGCACTTGGCAGAGGATGCTGGGGCTGGGGCTTCGTCCAGGCGTCTGTCAGACCCAGTCTAACACGCTGGACATTTCTGTTTGCAACCAAGTGCTCCGGGGTGATGGCATGCAGCCTCGTTTAGAGGCCCTGGGAACATGGCAGGTGACATCGAGCTGCCAGGGGAGTGGCGTGGTACGGTGAGGAAATATGGTTTTACACAGATGTCCCCCAGACGACACCTGTCGTGGACTCTGTGTCTGGTGTCCGTGAGACTGGCAACCACCATCAGCGCAGCAGGAACGGGAGGAGAGGCCCCCGGTCCAGCGCAGGTCTGGGCGGGACCCCCGGATGTGGTCTCCCTCATCAGCTCAGCTGCCCCCTGGGGCAGAAGACTGGCAGCCAGGGCAGCCTTCCCATCCCCTCGGTGAACAGCATGCTCTCGCATCCTACAACTGAAAATGCCAGGGTATCAGGCCAAAAAAACTTTTCTCTCCTCATCATGCATGTGCAGTAATGGATCTGGATCATCTCTAAGGCTCTTAACATGCATTAACATTGCTCAAAACACACTCCCACCTGTTGTCAGTAACGCTTTGTCTCAACATCCCTACAGCCCCGAGGTGGGTGTGGCTCAGGTCCAAAAGCCCTGCCCTCCACCCCTCACCCCCAGCCAGACCATTCCGCTCCCCTGACCCAGCGAGAGCTCAGGGCCCAGCCGCTTAGTCACATTCCCAGAAAGAGACACGGCTGCTGGGGAAGGCGCTTCATCCAGGACAAGACTGCAATGGCAGAAAGCATGGAGGCGGGGGGAGGGGAGGGGGCAAGGGGAAGCGGGGGTGGGGGGGGGAGTGGGCAGCAGGGAGGCCAGGCTGCTGCCAAGAATAGGCTGGAAACTCAACCCAACAGCCAAACATCCCAATCCAGCAGGCAGTTTTCAGCAGAGTTTGTGGTTTCATTTGTGTTGAATTAAGTGATCATTCGTATTGTTAAGTGTGAATGATCCTTGTGCTTCCTTCCAAATTGCTCTTTACAGCTACAGGGAAATAGGAAACTCTGGTCTCCCTGGGCTTCCCTGGGGGCTCAGCTGTAAAGAATCCGCCTGCAATGTGGAGACCCGGGTTGGATCCCTGGGTCGGGAAGACACCCTGGAGAAGGTAATGACTACCCACTCCGGTACTCTTGCCTGGAGAATCCCATGGACAGAGGAGCCTGGTGGGCTCCAGTCCATGGGGTCGCAGAGTCAGACACAACCTAGTGATATCTTTATCGGTTCAGTGATGGTGACAAGGCAGCACAGCACATGCGGTATAACAACAGAGGAAAGTAGGTACGCGGGCCATCGGCACTTCTGTTTGATCTTCAGTTTTTCTATACGTGTAAACTGTCCCAAATTTTAAAGTTTTATATGTTTGGGTTTTTTGTTTGTTTGAGCTGCACGGCACAGCATGAAGCATCTTAGTTCCCCAACCAGGGATTGAACCCATGCCCCCTGCAATGAAGCAGAGAATCCGAACCACTGGACCACCAGGGAATTCCCAAGGTTTATTTAAAAGAAAAGAACAAAGAAACTCAAACCCAAAAACTCTGCCTTCTAAAGCTGGGACTAGGAATGCCTGCGTTTTGAAAGCATGTCAGCTTGAAGGATGAGTGCACATGAGCTGTTGAACCTACTCACGGGGACTCACTGGGAACCCTGGGCCCTGAAGTCCAGCAGGGAGAAGACAGGGCATCACTCAGGAGAAGTGGCCTCAATCACGGTGACACTGTCTGCAGGATGCCTGGAGGGCACCGGCTCCCACTGCCGAGGCTGCCACCGAACACAGGCACCCCACAACAGGGCTCCAGAGCTGATCTTCCACAACGTCGTGTAAACTGATAGGAGGTTATCCCCTCCACCACAGAGCACTGGAACCAGGGGACTGAACACCAACAAAGAAATATTTGTTGACTTCAATAAAGTCAAGGCTCAGAGATGCATTGCCTGTTCTCATTATTTGTCACAGACTTGTTCAGAATGAGCGTGCGTGCGTGTGCTGAGTCAGTTCATCCGGGGTGAGGACAAGGAAGCCCCTGATGGTGACAGGCAGCACCAACCCTTCCCGAGTGGGGAAGGTGGCCCTGGCTGCAGCTTAGGGAACAGCAGGAAGGCAGGGGAGGCACAGAGGACAGTTAGCAGCTGTGTCAGGGTCCTGGGGCTACTCAAACCACCATTTTGCTGTTGTTGTTGTTGTTTAGTCACGCAGTCGTGTCTGAATCTCTGCGACCCCATCCATGGACTGTAGCCCACCATGCTCCTCTGTCCATGGGATTCTTCAGGCAAGAATACTGCAGTGGGTTGCCATTCCCCTCTTCAGGGGATCTTCCCAACCCAGGAACTGAACCCACACCTCCTCCTTGGCCAGCAGATTCTTTAGCACTGAGCCACCACTAACAAGGGGCTGCAAACACAGGAGTTTGTCCTCTTGGCTCTGGAGGCCAGAAGTCTGAGTCCCGGGTGATTCAGGGCTGGTTCCTCCAGGGGCTCTGATGGTGAGCCGGCTGCTGCTCCTGCTCCCAGTGCTGCCGGCATCCTCGAGTCCTTAGCTTGTGGCCACATCATCACTCCTATCTCTGCCTCCTCCTCTCCATGCGTTGCCCCCCTTCTCACCTCCTCTGAGGATTCCCATCACTGGATTTGGGCACCAGGTAGCTCAGTGGTACTGGAAGGACTGATGTTGAAGCTGAAACTCCAATGGCCACATGATGCGAAGAGCTGACTCATTTGAAAATACCCCGATGCTGGAAAAGATTGAGGGCAGGAGAAGGGGATGACAGAGGATGAGATGGTTGGATGGCATCACCGACTCAATGGA